CATAGACATTTGGTAGGCTGCAATTACATGTCTTCATTTTAGCACTTTTGTGTAGTAAATGGTAGCCAAATAACAAAGCTGTTCTGTAACTGTAATTGGATGATAAAGAATTGCACAAACCAAACCAGAAAATGTTCCTTCGCCTTCACCTATTTTTGTATATAATACTTCATGAGGCCTTCACGTTTTTATTTGCTACTTTCCACCTGCCTGAATTTATTTTCCTCCAAAGAAAGGTGTGCAAAATTGAATGATACATTAGCCCTGAGTCTTAGAGCCGTTTCACACTGTCGACCGGTCGCTGAACGACCACTAGGCAGAAAAGCTAAGTACGAGCTTACACACGAAGGCGACCTCGACCGATGGCCGCCGTCGACCAACAAGAAGTGAGCGACGCACAGGAGACCAACGACCACGATATACATAGATGGCAATCACGTGTTCACATTGCGGGCGACTCAGTCAGCGACCAGAGCTCAGAGAGGTGACATATCCATTGTTTCTTGCTTCCAAAGTACTGAGGCTGAGGCCTCTCTCTGCGCTGGTCGCCCTGCTGGTCTCCTCGTTTGGTCGCTGATGGTTTTGGTCGTGTGAAACGGCTCTTACTCGTTTGGCTGTGTCAAGTGGGGTAGTCTTATTGTAGAATGCAGTTTCGCGTTTGCTGAAGGTTGTCCATAATGACAGGATTTAGGCATTTTTAAAAATATATATGTACTTTTCCGCATTAACTGTATCACTTACAAGTTCGATCTTCCAGCTCCGTCGCTTGTTATACAGCCCCAAATCATTTTATTCACAGTAAATAAAAATGTTTATTCAATACAGTTAATGTAACACATAATCTTCATACCTTCTGCACTGTACAGAGTGTTTACCATCACATGCATGGAGATGAATTTTGATTTTTGGAAGAAATATTGATCCCACCGCACATTTGTCCACTTTACACGCTACTTATTGAATAAAAGACGTTTTCTCTTAAGGCCTTCTATGCGTCTCAAGACTGAATTCACACTGTTCTGTCACCTTCCAGAACACCTGTGTTGCGTTCTCACTGACTTTGTAAGTGAATTGAATTTGCTCGAAGATTAGAAAAAGACAAACGTTTTAAAAATCTGTCTTTGCCTCCAGTACTGACCCGTTTCGTTCCTAACCTAAATTTTCTCTTGACATCTGTCTCATGGTTCGAAGTCGCGACACTGAAGACTGATTGTAACTGACTTGCTGTGACCTCACGACGTTCTTATGAAAAGGTACTTTTTTCGGAATTTTAACTACGATTACTGAGTCACAGTGCCATGTCACACAAACACGGTATACCAACTGCTACCACTGTGACGCAACTGCTTTAACAAAAAGAGGTTATTTAACCACAAGATTGCGTAACATGGTGCAAAAAATATTACACACTGTATGGGAGAAATTTTTTTCTCAATTATAATACAAAAGCAAATTTTTCACGATTTTACATGCGAAATAAATTGATTTAGGATCATGGTGCAATTTATGTGGCCACTAGCGTATTGCCCAATTTCATTAGAAACGGATTTGGATACGCGGTGTTAAAACACTTAATCCCTTATATGCTACCAAGTATGTACAGTTGCTCTAGATTCAGTAAGTCATTTCATATTTCAGTAATATATGTTTTGGCCCTGTTGAAGACTAAACCTAGGGATAGGCCAATAGGCCAATAGCCTTATCTCTTTGCTTTTATTTTAAATCAGTCTCTTATCGGCACTTCGTGAAGTGATCTTCCACTCCTACTTTAAACAGACGAGGCAAATCTTAGGCTACAGCCATCACACACCGAACACAAAAGAATACGGTTGTGCCATTTAATGGGTTTTACTCTATATTTTCCTTTTCAGTCTAGTGGCAGCGCCATTTAACCGTGTGTTAAGCACAGTATACCCCGCGAGGGAAAGCCTTAGGATTGGAATTTTGTTAGAGCTGGTCGTAGTATTCTTGCTGGCAACATTATTGATGTTCCATTGTCGTCCTAAGGATTCAGTGGATTTTACCCTGTATTTTTTTTAATTTTGTGCATAAAAACATGACATTTGAAGAACGCTTGAAAACCGGTAGAGGTATTATTACAGATTGGAAAACGGGATAGGATTAAAAAGTAATAGATGTTTTTGTAACATACGGAACAAATACATGACCTAGTTCTTCAGGTTCGCCATGACGTAAATTCCGTTCGCACGAAACACACTGTAGATTTTTATTTTTACAGTAAGGCACAAGTTGTGTTTGACTAAAAATCAAAATAATCTGCATACATACTGTAGTTTGCGAATTTGTGAGATTCGTCAGAAGTATGAGGTAATTAGAGTTATGGGAGGGGAAGATGACAAAGTAGTAGCCTTTAATACAGAACGGATTGAGCGAGAATTCTTTGTAGTAGGCTGTCTCACTTCCTATATCAGTAATGCCTATGGTTTCCACAGTACAGGTAACCCTCGATTTGCGCCGATTCAGAATAACGCCGCTTTTGAAACCAGCAAGTCAAAAAGTGAAAACGTTACAGTGGAACCACGGTTCCGGAAAATTTGACGTAAATACGTCTATACAGTAAGGAGTTTATATAGTGGCTTTATTCTAAATATTTTCTTTATACCCGCTTTACCCGATTACAGTTTGAGTAAGACATTACTGCCTACCTTGAATTAGTTACTCTAAAGATGGGTCTGTGGTAGCTGAAATATGTTATAAAATTTGTACATTTTAGAGTATCAACATATCGTGCAAACACCATATCTATACAACTAACGCAAAAGTAGATTTATTAATAATTCTTATATAAGATAAGTACTTGTGATATTGTAAAACGTTTTAACAGCACAATATTATCTACTCTACGACGCACTTCTTCTACAAGCGATTCACAGCTCAGCCCTTTCCGCAATAACGAAAGCGGATTGTTGACGGCAGTAATGTAACACAACAATGCCGAGTAAACAGATGACGTTTCCTAGGTAACAAAACAATGCATGCAAGCTGACCATTGTTGTCGGTCCATATTTACAAATTGTTGATATTTCCTAGGTAACCATCTTACACATTTTCCTGTCACTTTTTCGTTACATTTTTTTGCGGAATGACACTGACCCTTCCATATAGAAGTATTTACGTCAAAACATATATTTTACTATTATTTATACCGTTTTACAATGTATCTCATACTGATTCTTATACTAATTCGTAATTCTTACATCGCGGATTTTTAATAAAAGTTATAAATACAGTCATCTCTACAATTACGTATGTTTCGTTGACGCGAATTTACTCCAAAGAGATCTTTGAATCGGTAAAAGCTGTTTATGAAATGCAAACTTTTGTATATGCGAGTTTGCTCTTATGCAATTTCATTCCTGGTGCTTTAAACTTTCAAAGGACTAATTTAATCTCTGCTGAGGTACCGGGGTTATTTTTACTACGCGATTTTCTATAGGCCGACGTCTTACATGAATGCAACTATCGCATAACAGCAGAGATGACTGTACACATCGATCACATGAAAGAATCGCAGTCAATCGCGGGGACCAACGAATTGCCGATTGTAAGTGTATTAAATATATTTTTTAAATTCCCTTTATTTTATTTACGTTATTTCAGAACTTCAAATGTAATGTCATTATATTACTCGTCAATGTTTGTGTGCTGGGAACGCATGTCATTGATTTACATCATAAAAAGAGTTTCAATTTACGCCGGTTCATCCAGGAACGCATCCCCGGCGTAAATCGATAGTTACCTGTATATGCGAAACCCACAGATTCGCACCGACAGGATACAATACAGCGCGGTATGTCAGTACATACAGATATGCATTACGCCATCTCTTGTCCGATGTATGAACTTCAAGCATCACTCGCATTTATACCACAAGATGGCAGAATTTACCTCGGATACCACAATCGCGTTGATTGACTGTCACTGAACTTCGAGGTCGATTGGTTCGTAATCGCGACGTCCTATGTTCAATCTCAGCCCGGAGATCGGCTATCTTCACTGAGATTTCCGTGGTTTCCTTCAGTCCGTCAATGAAACAGGAACGTCCATAAACTCGGCTAGGAGCACCGTCCTGCATATTTTTTCCGATTCGTTTTTTATTAATCATCGTATCATTTGGCGCCATGTTGTCTGATTTATTGACAGTGCCGTTAAACAACGACTAATAATAAATGAATCGAATGGCTGTCTCATTGTAGCTGTTAATAAAACAATGTCGTCTATAGTGTAGGAGGGATATGTATAATTTAGTGTTAATCTTTACAGTTGGAAGGCGGTATCAACCCTTAACCAAATCCACACAGCCGAGTCTTAAGAATATTTTTGTCGCTTAGCTGGTCAGAGAAAATTTGGTGTTTTATGGAACCCGAATGTAAGTTCAAGCGCCAAGTTCACAAGAGCCCGCCGCTGGGCCCCGTCCTTAACTAAATTAATTCAATCTACTACCTAGCAGAAAATTTAAGATTCGTTTTAGTATTATCTTTCCATCTACACCTAGATCTCCCAAGTGGTACTCTCCCTCTAGGTTTTTTCCGGCTAAAAATTTGTATGAATTTCTTAGCTCTCTCATTCGTGCTACATTCACCAGCCATCCATATATCATCAATGAATTGATGAATCTTCTAATATTTTATTATGTGAAGAGTTTAAATGTTCAAGATCTTCATAATGTAATCTTTATCAACGTCATATTATTTCTTACTTCTTCAAAGACAAATACGTCACCGAATAAGTCCTTGCGATTTCTGGTACCATGCTGATGTAGAAGACAAAGTTAGATCCAAGATTTTCAATAGCCATTAACATGTATCTGATTGCGAGTAAGAATGTTATTTATCCGGTAATATAAGCTTCGTTAAGGCATCCTGGTGTGGGAACAGTAATGCACAAAATTTATTTGAAGTTGCAAAGTTGGGCGTATATTCAGTTAAATGGTTTGATGGAATATTTTACATTCTTAAGTGAACAGATTGATAAAAACATAAATTGCAACAAACATATTTATTACACACATTTTAACAACAAAATGTCTGGTATATTTATTCTGTATTGTACAATGTTTTTCTTCCTTCTGAAATTATTGGCTTCATTGCTAAGAGTCAGCAGTTACCATGGTTACGAAATACTTATTCCAGTATAAATTTTCTCCAGTAGCCCATACATGACTAGTACAGCACATGTTATACTGTGGTGCATGGTCAATGGATAACATTTGCAAGAAACAACATTACATATGAAAAAATCTACGTAATTCAAATCTGACTTCGGACGAAGTTATTGGCTTCATAGTTTATTGTCACGTGATACTCCTAGCCAGAGCAATAGCCAGAATTTGACAGTAGCTGTTTATCCACTGCACACGGGATAACAAAAGAGAAATTATTAATGTTCATGATATGTTCTACATAATTTTGAAAATCCCGAGTGTAGTCCCAGACACTGGAACTGAACAAATGGGAATCCGAAAGTAATACTCAAGCTGGCGAAATGGGGGGAAAGTATTTGCTGTTTACTTGCATTCGTAACAATACACTCGCACATAATCGACTCTCAAAGACCTGTCTTCTTCATCCCATGTTGGTAGCCACCAGTCTCTATGTTCCCAGAAATCTCGCATTGGATACGGCGAACTTGAGGTCCAAGGTTTAGGATGAGGAGAGTTGTACCAACCGTCTGGGAAGAAATTTCCTCCAACAGCCACGTTCAGAATTATGAAAAACTGTAAGAAATAAATATTTGATTTTGTTGTTTAAAATCAATACGCAGTTTCTTGGGTAAAAGTAATCATGTTATTTACGTTATTGCGGTAGAGAAAAAGTAAGATATTTTATAATATTCAGGGCCGTCCTTAGGGCTAGGCGACCCGGACACAGCTCTTGGGGGGACCCCGATCTTCGACAATACGACGTATGAAATACTTTGTGTACAGCGACACGTCAAGGGCTCAAGGAAAAATGTAACACAGAGCACATTAAAGTGTAGTCTATCAATTTCATTGTAATCCCAGAGCAGAGATAGGAATACATTCTTTAATAATATACAGCTTGGCGCCCGAAACATTAAACTTATTGGTTTCCGGTTTCCTTCCTTTATTTACCTCATGTATTTATGGAGAAACTAGAAATCTAAAGAGGAACCTTGCACAGTTGCTTCACCCCGGACCAGCCCCTCTCCAGCGACTTTTCTGACAATTTTCCTCATTTACACGGCTTTGATAGTGTGGATTGAAGTCTTCTGATTCCTGACACCGTGTTTTTTAACTGAAAATGGGTGTAACGCCTTCCTCAAACCCGATGATAAGTAAATACAAGCTACGTGGCTTAAGAACTTAGAAGACCAAGATCCATGAAATCCATGCATCTCATCAGTGTTAAGTAATATAAGTGGACATAAAAATTTAATTTCATAGAGAATACATTAGAACATTGCTTAGGGTTTCATTTCAAATAAGAGCATTGTAATCTCACGTTTTAAAGACACTCAGTTAACTGCTAGGTTACATTGCGTAGGGTTCAAATATTTGGAAGAAATGTATTACAGGCAAAAAGAAAAATAGCGAGAAAGTGACAGTGTCAATTGTGGGACATTGAAGACAAAGCAGCAAACAACTCTCGATCCGAAGCAAGTACGAATTTTTAGATGAAACATTGCAGGACAGAATAAAGGCCTATTAACCAGGGAGCATCGCATTCATCTTCTGCAACCCTGTTGCAACAGCCATTTATCTGGTGTACTGAAACTGCAAGTGTGTTAGGTCTGCGTTGCCAATAACATCTTCCATGTGCTCTGAAAACTGATTGTAACACAGACTGCAGAGCTGGTTGTTGAAGGAATAACCTCAAATATTTGTTCTTGGAAGTCGTCCACTTCATGTCTCGCACATTCTGACTTTGTTTCTTACTGAGACCCTGCAGACAAATGCCACGGACCACTAAGTTAAAAATCCTTATCTATTTACCAATCATAACCTCCTTCCATCTCATTCGACCCAATATCACCTAGACAGTTCAATCGCCCAGATACCACTTAATAAAACACGAAGTTATTTTATACTGAAAAAAATGAGAGATGTAGATTTGAAGTGACATGTCCTTTCCAAATGAAAAATCTTCTCACGTAAATAGCGAAAAATAAAAAGTGGTAGTCAGAAATAATACAGAGTACCATTTAAAAAGCAACTAGCAACAACCATCTTACAGGCTCTCCGAAGCTCATCCGTTGACCCTGGAGACAAGTTCACCTTTGTTGCCAGGCCGTTGCTCACACCACGTGTTTCTATTGCATAAATGCCGGTAAACCTTGAGTACATTATACATTGACGCTCAAAGCACATCTGAGGTTATTTTGGCGTTTAAAGAACGGTACAATTTTGTCGGATGATAAGTCTGTAAGGTATTGTCTGAAATTATTTCTACGAGGGGGCAGTTACGAAGATCCCAGAGAAAATCTAGTTGGTCAGATTCCGTGCAGACCCCTAAAAACTGCTGCTGATTTTTAAATGGGCTGGAGTAGGGCTATGAATATTCCCATCATGATCTCAGTCAGACTCGTTCAAGGTCGTTTAGTAAGACCATTTACAGAAACTACATATTGTTGGTTCATAAATCACCTTTCAGACACCACTTGAACACTTATCACGACCTCCCCTAATTCAGTTTCAAACCAACACGTGCTTAAGTCAGTGTATGGTGTAAACCTATAGAATAACACGAGATGGGAAACTTACATTCATAGTTTTGCCAGACCATCTTTACACACTGCTAATGTTACGAATGGATGCAAAGGGCCCTATGTTCTCAAAGTCAATGATATGGTATGAAGATAATAGCCAGAGTCAAGGTGAGATACTGTCAAGTGGAAACTACAAGCAAGAACTTGCTTGCCAGATTGTGTGAGTATTCTGCAGAGCACAGTCAAGGACGATCACACGCACGCAGCGTACACGATACTGTAATCTTACACTAAACCTCATTAAAATGTATTGACGTTGTCCCATGCAACGAATACTCTTTGTTGCATTAAATTTTGATGCATTTATATCGAGCTGACATTTCTTCTTTAATGGCGCTGGTAGTGGATGTAGGAGAGACACATAAGGTGTGTTTATGTTCCTTTGTGTATCTGTGGGTAATGTCCAGTCTATTTGAATTCCTCAGCGGTAAAGTGATATAAGTAAAATTGTTTTACTCTTGTATAAAATAAGGATTCTCTCTTTAATACCGAATGTAGGATAATTTGGTATGCGTGTTAGGAAATTATATTAGCTGCAGCAGATATATAGTGGATTTCGATTAATTGGGACACGTCGGGACTAGAACACTTTGGTCCAATTAAGCAGCTGCCCCTTTTACTAAAAAACTCATTCTATTTATTTGTTGACACACCACTTCAGCTCTGATCAGCTAATTTGTGTCCTTAAGTCGAGAGTGTAGAAAGTACGTAATATCGAGTTGATGAAAATCTCTCGGGTTACAAGCCGCGTCAGGTGGCTGAATGGTGAATAAACCATATCTTCTGTCAACGTTTCGAGACCAATCTTTGCTCTCATCCTCA